CCGTCTTCGGAGTTGGGGGCGTCTTCGGGGAATCCGTCTTCGCTAGGTGTCTTCGGGGTTCATCAAACATACACAGCTGCGGCGAATCCGTCTTCGTTAGGCGGATGCGTCTGCGGGTGAAAAAGTGCCCCCGCCAGGGCGGCTGCAATGTTACATTACATACATACATGCATGCATACATGCATGCATGCATACATGCGCTTTGTTGCCAGCCATTACATTACATTGCATTACATTGCATGCATTACATAACATATTACATAACTTACATACCTTACATACCATACATACCCCACATAAATAATAGCATTACATACCATACATTACATTACATTACCGTTTACATTTACATCTACATTTACAATTTACATTTACATTACATTACATCACACACGCATGCATCACATTGCATTGCATTGCATTGCATTGCATAACATTACATCAGAGATTAGATTATATACATTACATTACATTCCACACGCATGCATCGCATTGCACGTTACACTACATACACGTGCGCAGGGACTAACATGCCCAAGAGAAAAGTCCGTGCAGTGCGAGGGTCCGAGGGCTACCAACATGGTTATCGCAGTGGGCAAGAGACAAAAGACTGCTTAAGCCTGCTTGGCGCGCTGGGGACTTCACTCCGCATTTCAACGGAGACAAATTTTATGTGGATGTTTAGATGCCATGATGGTTGCAATTGGCCACAAGTCTATAGGCGTGTTGGATAGAGACTTTTGAGCTCCGCCAGATGATGTATTTGTCACTTCCATCTTCCACACCCCTCGGGCACAGGTGATTGTCGCCACGAAGAAACTTGAACAAATCGAATGTTGGTGGGAATTTGAGACTCTTAGACGGCAGTAACAGAAGGGCGTCCAAATTTAGAGTCGCAACAAAATGATAACCAAAGACCCTAACCGTAAGTCTCGAAGGGAAGCCAGTGGTGATATCCCAAGCCGTCAGTGACCAACATTTTAACCAAAGCTCTGATGTCTTGAGCCATGGCTGGTAGGTGGGAGGCCATCGCTCTTAGGTTGGAGGCCATTGCTATTAGGAAAGAACATAGAAGAAAACCAATATACCCAACGACCGATGCGGGCTCGAGCTGTTGCAGCGCACCTGCACATTTGAACGCTCGTAGCCGTTGCAGATCTTCGCAAATTTTGCCTCCAAAGACCTCTTTTCATCCGGTCCATTTGGAGTCAGGTAAACCCGATCGTCATCGTCGTCCCTGGAAGAGCTCATTCCTTAGAATCTTTAGCTTTAGAGTCATGCAATCTGTCATGAGCTGTGAACCTCAAGATGCCCAAGGCTATGTTGCTGCCCATCTGCCGGTGACAAGGTTGAATCCCAAAGACCAAGCTTGCAAGTGTGAGAAAGCATTGCTCATGCACCAGAAGCAAGTAAGAAACTGACTTTTGCGCATATAGATTTCCCCTAATCATTGCCACGAAGGCAAGGGATGCGAACACTGCGAACATGTGCATCAAAGATGCGATAGTCCACTTCGGCACCAATATCATGTACCTCCCCAGTGCAACATGCAGTCCCAACTTGAGGCCCTTGAGGCTCTTCTGCAGATTTGTCAAACCTCTTGAGCTGAGACAAAATCATAGTGGAGTCAAGATAGCTGCTAGCTTCTTGAATAGGCCATGGATGCCATGGTTGGAGAAATGTAAACAACAAAATGCCTGTGCAGGGCACTTTGCAGAAGGCTTCAAGCATTGGAATGAATGGCAAAAAGAGCGGCCGGTTCAATCCATTCAAGTACCTTGGCGGTAAGTACGTATGTTGAGAACCTCCGACTCGGAAAGCAAAGCATCGTGTAAGGAAGAAGGAACAGCTCCTGTCAATCCAGTATGCAGGGACAGTGGAGAGAAAGGAAGAGGGATAACAAGTCAACCGGGCAGTTGCATCCAGTGACTTGAAGCCCCTTTGTCAAGTGGCAAGTCCTTGGGCGGACGATTTGAGGTGGCCACGACCACGGCCCCAAGCTCAAAAAGCACGGAGAAGATCCGTTTCATGATAATGGCGTCACCTCAAGAAGAAGTTTGGGCTTGCAGCTGCGAAGCAATCGAAACATGATATCTCTTGATGTCTTTATGGATTGTTAGGGCCGCCGTTCTTGTGGCCAGCAAACTGTTCACAACATTGGACTCACAAGGTCTCACAAGGGATACAGAATCAGTGTAATTATGTAGGACGCTCCTTTCTCTAGTTCTGCTGTCACACTTTGGCAATCGCTTGGCTAGCAGAACAGAGCCAAGCAGTAGCTACACCGCTACGCGCCGCTACCCCTTCTGCGAGCAAAGTTTGGCACCCATAGGCCCTAGGTTTCTGCCCAGAAGCTGATATGGGTCACTTGGAACTCATCAAAGCATAAGAGCCACGCTTCTCTCATCATGTCCTAATTTCGGTCGAACAGGTCGGTTATTTGCAGCCAGAACATGGTAGACACCCGGCCGATGTTACGCCACGCTTCCATCAGCTTCTTTTGTAAACCTTTCAACTTTGTCAAAAAAACACATCACCAAATCTGTCTGCATTAGAATTTTGACTCAATACCCGGTGGGAGAAAAGGATGTGTCTGGCAGGGATAGATCGTATGGTCCAGTATCTTCAGTCTGTGGCTTGGCCATGGCATGCAAAAGCAGAATGAAAACAGTAAACTCCGCCGGTAGCCGCACTCACTAAAAGTAAAATGGTCGAAAAAACTTTCAGAGTTCCTTGTGAATCCTTGTTGCCCGACACTCATCTACGCCACACAACTCGAAGGGGCTTCTGTTCCTCTTGGCCAGGTGTCTGCAGCGACTTGCTCCACCAGGTCATCAGCTGTGCTATCAGTTTTGGCACTGCTGCCCTTCTGCTTCTGGTGTAAGCCTTGCAAAGGAAGTTTTTCCCTCAATTGGCCACATCTGAGCTTTACAAAATGTTTGTGGTGAGCGGCACCAGTGCTCAGTGCTGCCTCTACACCAAAATCCTCCAAAATGTCCTGACGATATTCTGGTTGTACTCCTTTAGCATCACATCCCTTCCCCACCCCTCAAGAACGGAGGTGCGAGAGTGAACATCGATCATCCATTCGTGAAAGTGGATGCGTTTCCTTGGCCATAGCAAAGTATCAAAGCAGACAAACAAAAAACAAACAAAGGTTTTGGTGAACACGGTTTCATAGTATCTGAATCTGGAGCAAGCTTCTTGTTCTGCACCTTGATCTTGTCGTAGAACCTGTCCAAAGCTGGAATAATCAGCAATAAGTATGTTTGCATCTGATCCACAGGAGTGGACAAAGTATCACAAACACGCGGCAACAAAGATTGAAATGCTACTTGAATGGGCAAGCAGCATGTTCATCATAAAGGTTTTTCCAGTACCAGTGCCACCCCACAAATAGAGCCCAATCTGCCCTGCTACTGGTTTCAAAGAGCTTTGAGCTGCATCTGGCGTCTTGCTGGGAGCTGATGGAGCTTTTGTCCCTCCAAAGAGCCCTCCAAAGAAGCCACCTCCGCCTCCAGAGGGTGGAGAGCTTGGGGCTGCAGCTTTGGGAGCTCTCGTCATCTTAGGTGAGTAGTTTTCGATCTGTTTGGCGAGATCATCCAACATCTTCATGCAGACTTCCTGCCGTGGATCCTCCTGAATCTCTCCTTTGGCTTTCATTTGAAGATATGTTTCTAAGCAGCCGCCAGGCATAGGTGATGAGCTGGATGAACTGTTCCGGAACTGAATTAAGCCAGTTAAGCCTACCTCAGACTGAACGCTCACATCGAGGCGATGCGTCGGGGCCACGAGGCGGGCCGCAAGGCGGGCTGCGCGGGCGTGGCGCAACGGCTTTGCCCCATGCCGAATCAGGCAGCTGTAAGCTCCGCAGGAAGCTCCGTAGGCTGCCCCACCCAGTCGGACTCGGAGCATCCCGAGCCTTAGGGCCTTGGCCCTGCGCTTCTAAAACAGCCTCGACCTAGAAGAAACCCAGGGCGGCGCAAATGATGCACGCATACAATAATATGAAAGTGCTGACTCCTTCTGCTTGAAGCAACCCAATCAAACATGTTTTCTTCTGGCAAAGTTTCTACCCTTGGGGGTTGGTCTAAACTCCTTACAAATTACACCAGCATAGACCCAGATAGCTAGGCAGAATCTGGAACAAGAATGTACGTACGCAGCCTGCACACCCAGCTTACGGAACCTCCACAGCGCGCGCAATCAGCTGACACCAGCACCGGTGCGCTTTGCCAGCTGACAACACCGGCAGCGGCGCCAGTGCAGCGCCGCCGCCCGTCTTAAACGCGCTCAGCCAGCTCACAGCACCAGCACCCAGGACCACAACACCAGCACCGACACCCTTTCGAAAGCGGGCGCGGCCAGCTCATTCTTATTGGCAGCAAGAACCCCATAGCTATCCCTAATTGGGGAATAACAACGTATGATCTTGCGCGTATCAGTTTATGCGCACAAAAGTATGCGCGCAAACAGCAAAGCCCGTAAGTGTCATTGGCCCAAGGCCAAGCAGTATCCAGCGCCGCTATTGACATAGTAGCATGCTTGAAGCAACGAGCTGCAGCACGATAAGGCCGTATGATCTTGCTTGCGCGTTTATGCGCGCAAAAGTATGCGCACAAACGGCAAAGCCCGTAGGCTTCACTCGCCCAATGCCAAGCAGTATCCAGCACGACTATTGTGTGTGTAGCACGCTGAAACATGCTGAAACAATGGCCGGTTGAGAGCCTGACGTTGCACATAGAACATTATACGTACAAAAGTACGCGCGCAAACAGTACAGCCCTTGACACACAGCTGTCGGCCAAAACAGAACCTGAAGAGTGTAAATACCCCACAGCGCTAATAGACAAAGAACGCTCAAGCGACAACACCGTATGATGTTGCGTGCATAAGTTCACACGGCGCATGACTGCTGGCACTTCATTGTCAGAAGCGGCGCTTGGTCGCCCTTCACTGCTGCAAGCGGCGGTTTGTTACGCGGCTGTTGTTATCACTTCACTGTCAGAAGCGGGCACCAGCACCAAGCACCGGCCCGCCAGCTCACGGCGCCCAGCGCCAGCACCCAGACCGGTATACCGGCGCCCGGCACCCAGCACCCGGCACCCTGTCTCCACCACGCACACAGCCAGCTCACAGCACCGGCGCCGGCGCCCGCTGTCTCTACCACGCGCACTGCCAGCGCCGGCACCGTGTCTCCACCAGGCGCACAGCCAGCTCACAGCACCAGCGCCCGGCACCGGCACCCAGCACCGGCACCCTGTCTCGCGCGCACAGCCAGCTCCTTGTCAATTGTCAATTGCACCGGCACCCGCACCCAGCACCAGCACCGGCGCCCGGCACACCAGCAGCACCGGCGCCCGGCGCCCAGCACCAGCACCGGCACCAGCAACCTGTCTCCAGCACGTGCACAGCCAGCTCACAGCACCAGCACCAGCGCGGGCACCCGGCACCCAGCACGGCACCAGCAACCTGTCTCCACCACGTGCACAGCCAGCTCACAGCACCAGCATCAGCACCGGCACCCAGCACCAGCAACCTGTCTCGAAAGCGCGCACGGGCAACTCATTGTTATTTGAAATAAGAACCCCATAGCTTCGCTATCTGGGGAATATATGGAACTTATGTTATCGCAAAAAGGAAAGGTGCTTTCGCGCGTTGGCAAACAGAACAAAGACCTCCGAAAACAGCTGCTTTTAGATCCTTCTCTTCAGAATACGTGTCTACTGGTTCCCTAAGGAGCTTGGCTGCACACTACTTCTTCAATCTTCCCTGCGTTGCATAAACCCGTTTCCATCTGATCCATCTGTCATGCCGCGTTGGGCTTGCCCGGAACTCTCTGGTTGATCATCTTTACAGCATGCAAGCTCCAGCTGAACTTGGCAGTGCTGTGAAAGTGTCTGATAGAATTGTACCCGACATCCAACCGCTGTCAACCCAGTGTATAGTATATAGTATCGTGTGTGCGCAGTGTCTTGTGGAAAAGTCTGCAGCAGCCCTGTTCGTTCTTTCCTCCGCACTTGCTTGCATCGACGCATCAGGGTCCCAAGCAAATGCTTGGTTTTCTGGAAGGTGTCTTAAGAAACCCGAATCGGGCCCCGACATGTACTTGCCCCTCTACAAGGGTGATCAACAATCAAAACGCTTCCAAAGCGTCGCTTCTTGTTGTATATCATTCTGGCCTCTGTGGAGTGGCAGTCACTTTGTTGGTAAACACGAATGGCCAGACATGTTTTGGCATTCAGTCCATCGTCAGCTCTTGTGGCTCGCTTTGGCCAATCAGTGAGCACCGCACGTTCCCAAAGCGCTGTGGTGGGCACCTCTGGCCTCTGCTACGTCAAAACCAAGTTTTTGCTAGAACTGATCTTGCTCCAGCGTTCGAAAACGTCTTTGGCTGTACGAAGCTGGTTCCTGATAGCAATTTTTTTCACGAGAATCAAACCTGTGTCGAACCGCATTAGTGCGAACTAAATAGCAGACTAGAATATCATCCTAGAAAGATTACCGAAAGGGTTCCCGGGAGCTTGGCACATCAGCTTTCAATGATAGACTCCCGAACATGGAGGTGTCGTGAGCCTCACATCAAAGAGGATCGAGTACGGCTGCGCAAGCTTCCTGGCCTCGGCTGGAGTGGGTGACAGCTTGCATGGCCTGCAGAATTAAGCGCGATGCAACACACTCAGGTCACCTGCGCATAGTTTGTGGCCTCACTAATCCTTTTTGAACGTGGCATTGTTGTTTGAGACAGGAATTCCAAATATTTGCGCGAAATCTGGAAGGCTTGCAAAGAGACGTTGGAAGTTCAGATTCTGGTGTTGTTGCAAAAAACTTATATACATGTGACCTGCCGAGTTATGCTTAAAATCTTCACAAACTACAGCAACCACCCACTATCTTCACCCTGAGGTGCCCTGCTTTTTGGCCTGCAAAGTTGTTGCGGCGACTGAAGATTCAGCAATCAATAATATCAATAATCATGTGGTGTGTGTGTCTCAGAACACCTGCGGTATGTCTCAGAATCACATCGCTGGTCTGACTGGTCTCACCAAAAAACATACAAAAACTATGGCATTGATCTTGCAGGCTTTCGCGCACGCACACATTCGGGAAATGCGCACTGAAAGCCACATGCCACACGCCCACCTAGGTACGAAAGCCTAAGAAGCCAGGAGTAAGGTAGTAAGGTATGTAAAGCGTTCTGACCATGAGACCTCTATGAAAACCTCCTTGAAAATCTCCAAGAAACCGTAAAGTGCCAAATCGAAACTCAAGACTCAAGACGCACATCTGCCGATGAAGAGCCGCTGCAAAGGCTGGACACATTGCTTAATTACAATCAGGGACCAAAAGGAAATGAGCATTAGCACTCGAGCAGGTACGGGGAAAGGATGAAGAAGGAAACCAATGGAGGGGCCGGGAACCCATGAAGCCAGACCTCATTACAACGACCTAGGAAGACCTGCCTTGTTTAAAATGTACATGCTGTGTGTGCACCTAAAGGTTACGACAGGTTCCAATGAACCTCAAAAGAAAGCTTTGGTCGCTCTGGCCACCTTGTGGCGTTAAGCCAGCTTGGACCGCTGCGGTCACGTTTCGGCATGGAGCCATCTTGGAATTCAATAGTTCAGCAGGTCTTGGCAAATGGCTTTGGCTTAAGCCTGCTCCGCCCGCTCTGGGCACGTGCATTTCCAAAGCAAGGGAAACAACGACAAACCCCCGTTCAATGGGTCCACAGAGGCCACTCCTCGGGGTCACCCTGGGCAATCACCAAGGAGAGACACACTTATAAATAGAAATGCGTGCCACACGCCAGTGCCCATATTCCTGAGAAGTCATGCAAAGGGGCCTGAACACCTTTGGTTAAAAAGGCCACGCGGTCCAAATCCATGATGTAGCGAAGCGACGAACAGGTCGAGGTGACAGCGATCGCTCGTCTCTGCAGAGCGCACTAGCCCTTTAAGGAAGATGAGAGTCACAGCGTGAGCAACAGTTCAAACAAAGCAGGTACACCAGGTTGATCAGACCTGGCTTCCACTATCACGCATAGCTTCGTTGGCATGCGTTTGCGTGATAGCCGCATGCCCCCTGCTGAAGAACGAGAAGTCAGAAAAAACATGATAGCCGCATGCCCCCTGCTGAAGAACGAGCCAAAAGGATCCCTGTGAGTCCAAGGGGTACACACACTCTGACATTGGTTTGCTGTTAACTCAATTCCCACGGTGAGAAGGAAGGTGATGGAAACGCATGGTGAAAAAGTCGGCGCAATTGTATTGTTGAACAAAGTTTAATGCACTCGGCCGCGGTGAACTCAGCGCAGAGGAAAGGGTTTTGGGGGAGGTATCGTGAGAAAGAACCATGAATCAAACCGAGAACAGTGGAGTCACAGCTTGTGCAAAAGTTTCGTCAGCAGGTACGTCGGCAAGCGTCCTTGCCGATATCCTAGGATCATGTGAGGAGCTTCGTTGGATGGAGCCTCACATGTCCTCTCCATCCCCCTGCTTGCGCGATGGAAACATCAAGGTACACGGTACCCTTTGGAACAGGGGTTGACACACACAGGAAGCCGAAGTCGGCGCAAGTGCATGAGACGGTGGCACCGTGCTCTTTTTTCTCAAAAAACGCCGGCGTGCTGTTGGATCATGTCCTTTGTGGGCGTACAGCCGGATAAGCTCTTCAGCCGCTGCCGCTGCGGTGTGTGGTGGAAAGGTGTATGTATAAATTGCATGTAGTCTGGAAGCTAAGCCAGAAAGAGCCAAGCGCTGGCTACTGGCGCTGGTGTGGTCCCTGATTTTCCAGGGCTGTGTGGGTTGGATGTAGGTGATGGTTCGTTGTGGGAGGTCAATGTTGAAGCGCAGGAGGTGAAAGTCGTCCACTGTTTCCAGTTCGACTGGATCACCGAAAAAGTTGCGGTGGATGAGGGTCTGGATTTCTGGATGGCTGGGTGGGAGAGGAAGTGTTCGTTGCGCACGATGAAGCGGTTGTCGACGTACCTGTAGTATGTGAAGTGGAGGGCAGTATGCTGGAGAAGGTTGTTGTGGAGTTGGTGCCAAGAGTGTTCAATGAAGGTGATGGCGACGTTGCAGAGGGCAGGAGAGAGTTGGGAGCCAATCCCAGCCCCTCGGATTTGTTTGTAGGTGTTATTGCATGCCCGGAAAATGCAGGTGTTGAGCGCAAAAGCGACAATGGTTGTGATGTCGGAGGTGTGGAGGGTGCGTTGCGTAGGATGTTTTGGGTGGTGTCTGCCGACGTGGGAGTGATGGAAGGGGTTGCCAGTGGCTTTGGTGTCAACTGTCAAAGTATGTGTAGTATTCTGGCGCTGCCATTGTTGGATCACAGAATGGACGGCATCAATAAGGCGGTGTTGGGGTACTGAGTTGAAGAAGCCAACAAGGTCATCATTGGTCGCGTGTAGTGGAATGTCTGCCGGTGTGTGTGTGTGTGTGTGTAAGATAGCAATGGAAGTGGCGCCATAGTTGTGGGATGGACAGTTGGCCCGGATGTTGTGGGAAAAGGTGTTGCAAAATGACGTCGAGTGCTCGGCTGGTGGTGCGTAAGAGGTTGCCACTGAGGGAGTGGAAGTACGAGATGATGGTACGTCCCTTCCGCCACTGCTTCTTTTCTTTGAGGTGGACAATGCCGTATGGGATTGTGAAATCTTTCCTGAATCCCCATTTCTATCGGGAGCGTAGGTTGGCCGGGATGGTGGCGGAAAGGTGGTCGTGGATGTTGGACGAATGGAGATGTGGAAGGGGTTCAAAAAGTTCCGGAGCTTGCCATGCGTTGAGCGCTCCGGTGAAGTAGTGGCGTGGGCAGAAAATGCGGAGTTGTTGGAGTTCGTGGTCCGCGTGGTGGAGCACAACTTTGTCGCCTAGGTATTCTTGAAGCTGGCGGAGGAGGCGGGCTGTGAAACGCGGATGTTGTTTGAGGTGTGTAGTGTGAAGTCGCCATTGATGCTGAAGGAAAGGTTCCAAGTGCTGACTGAGCGAAGTCGGGAGACCTTGTATCCGGAGCCATTTTGCGAACGCTGTTTGGAAAGTGAGAAAGTATCTGGCTTTGCGGGGGTAGAAAGTGCTGTTCATGTTGGCGTCAAGGAAAATGCGGAGGTGTGGTGGTAATGTCAGTTGGTCCAGGGTGAGAATGTAGTGGTCGTTGGCGGTGGCGGTGGCTGGGTCAAGAAGTAGAGTGTGGAGATGAGAGCAAGTACACGGGAGGTCATTGGGATCTGGAGGAGTGTGCAAGGTGTCTTCCCACGTGCGGTGGTTGTGAAGCTGTGCTCGGAGTGTTTTGTGGGCAGCTTCGCGTAAACGATGTGTGGGGAGGTGGAGTGGGATGGCTAAATGCTTGTGTTGTTGGACGGTGGTCTGTAGCCACTGCTGGCAGTGCTTGGTGAAGTCGTCGTGAGCCAGGAATGGTACTGTAAGGGGAATGTTGGGCTTGGGAGGTGTCAGATTTCTGTAGTGAAGTGCTTTGGTGATAATGTGCAGGGCTCGGGTACGACCTGGCTCTTCGAGATTGCGGAGAAGAGTGAGGGCATGGTGTTTGGTGGAAGTAAAAAGGTACGGTTCTCTGATTGTCTGCTGTCGTCTGCGAAGCTTGTGAAAGAGCCTCTTGTGTGTGGCCAAGCGGGAGTAGAAATGCGCCCGGTGTTTGGTGAATTGCCAACCCTCAGCTTTGAGCTTGAGATGTTGGGAAATGAAGGGCCAATTGAGAGGTGGCATCCAGTTGGAGATGAAATGGTGTTCTTTGATCCACGCTTGGTCGTAGTTGTCGTGGGAAGAGAGCTGAATAGGGGTGAAGTGGTGCACGTTGCCGTGGGAGTGCCAGTAGCGCAGGGAGAATTCAGCGGAGACTGGGATGTTGTTTTGAAGTTGCTTGAGCTTGGCACGGCGGTTGTGTTCGAGGTGTGGTATGCCGATGGCGGTGGAGCCCACATAATAGTGGCCACGTTGATGGTAGCACCGTTGTGGTGTGATGGTGTTGAAGTGGAGTTTGATGTAAACTGAGTTGGGGGAGAGAAAGTTGTGGCAGTGGTAAGTGTGAGGAAGCACCTGGAGGTGCCGCAGGCGCTGTCGCCATTGTTGGGAGCGTTGGGTAGACGACGGATAGCAAAACAGGAGGGTGATGTGAATGAGGCCGACAGCAAAAATGGCTTCTGCGCGTTTGATGTATTGGCTGTGGTGAATGAGTGTAGAAAGGGCTCGGTGTAAGTGGTAGAGTTGTTGTAAGCGCGTGTTGTGCGGCAGGTGTTGGCTGCAAAGAGAGAGTCAGCAGGCGACAGCTGCCCCTATACTGACAATGCGCTGCAAGCTCTTGATGGTAAGCTTGTTGACACGGTTGAGTGGCAAACCGTATCGAGTAGCCGCTTCTTTTAGCTGGTCAGTGGTGACCTTGCTCGTCTGGAGAATGCGGAGCGCTTCTTTGGCCGATTCTTGAACCGTGGGGTCAAAAGTGCGCATCCATTGCAGAATGGCTGGAGCCGTCCATGAATCTGGAGAATCGTCTTTTAAAGACGGATGGGGTGGTTGGAGGACGTCTGCGCTGGGGGCGGAGGAACGACCGGCATCTTTTCGGGGTGTGAGTTCGATGCCGTGGGCCCCTGGGCTTGGAGCTTTTCGCGGGCTCGGGCCAGGTCGTCTGACGTGGCTTTCAGGGCGCGAAGGGCGGAACCTTCGGCCGCTGCTGGAGCGTGGGCTTGAAGTTGTTGGTGAAAGGCGCGGGCTTGGGTTGTTTTGTTGGGGACTGCGGTGCCTTGGGAGGTGTGGATGGCTTCCGCGATAGCATCCAGGTCGAGGCGCTTGTCCCGAATTTCTTGTAACAGGTGGGTTGTGAAAACAGACTCAGCAATGCTGCGTGTCGGAATGAGGCCACAATACTTTCCGTGGCTCAGTGTCCTGGCCGTGTAATCGGCCGTACCATGATATGC